CCTCCTTCGTCTCTCCTCCCACCTTTCATCTGTGCATGTGTGTACGGGATCTGGGTATCTTCTATGCATGACCCAGACCCCACCATCTCATGATTGTATGTGTGTGGAGTGATGCCATGTAGGTCAGTCTATGTGAGTCAGTCTATGTGAGTCAGTTCGTTATAAGCCTTCCACTGCATAAAAACTCATCCTATATTGGTTGATTCTTGGTTCTGCCCATACTCATTGGAGTATGTAACAGCAGGGCTAGGCCCTTAGTAGTCCGCCATAACCTCAGCCTGGTTGAAAAGGAGGAAGAAGGAGGCCATATGGCTATTGTGGACCTCTGTTGATGCCAAGCAGTAGAAGAGGGATTCAGACTTCGATTCTGGTTCAGCCATTCATCACTATTATGAGAAACAAGTCCGGCAGTGTCACACTTTCGGTTTCGGAAGGGCAAAAAAAAACACGTGTGGGCAACAACATCGGGTGCAGAGTTCGAAAAGGGCAATATCGGTAAAAATGGCTGTGGCCTACGCGTGATTTTGTCGCCCTTTTCAAACTCGGTGCACAATTTTGTTGCCTTTTCAAACTCGGTGCCCGGGAAAAAATGCTTTTGTTGCCCTTTCAACTCGGCGCACGTGTTTGTTGCCCGTGTGTGATTTTGTTGCGCTTTCTAAACTTGTCTGTGCCACAACCGAACTGACCCCTTTTATTATTTATTGATTTAATAAGAGAGGATGCGACAAGGAGGAGTTGGTTGGCGAGTGAAGGGGGGATTGCCATTGGTCTTTTGCTAGTGTGCATCTTCTTCTTCTTCTTTCTTTCTCCTCCTTCTTCTTCTTTCTTTCTCCTCCTTCTCCTTCTTTATCTAGCCCTCCTCTCAAGTTCATTCATTTATTTTGCAATTGGGCGGCATTGTGCTTTCTTGTGAATTCTGTAATTCAAAATTGGCCAGGATCGTAACATACGAGAAAAGTTGCTGTCTTTGATCTGTTTGCTGAGATTTCCGAGTCCGAGTCTAATTTGGTGTGCTTTCTGAATATGTATGTAACCTCATGATGATGTATTCATGCCGTCTGCTTGGCTGTGTTTAAAGTCTGCATCACTGTGCTAACTCTGTTGTCCGTGCTTTGTTTCTGTGCCTTGAACAGGGGTATCATAGCAAGTAGGTGTAGTTACAGGGACAGACAAAATTTGGCTTCATATGGACTTACCAGAAAATCTAGAAGGCCTGGGGTGGATGTAAAATTTGTCAGGGACACTTTTCAGCAACTCGGAGTGACCCAGGTAGGTCCGGTGGGCTTAGTCCGGTAGATTCCAGAAAAGGGCATGGGCTGAAAATGGTACGTACGTGGGTTAGAGGGCCCAGGGGCCGAGAGACATGAATACATCAGTTGGTGCACTTGATTGGCCGGAATTTACTCAGCAGTCATGCTGCTGCTCTGCCAGAGGAAGACGTTGGCCGAGCATTGGGCGGTGGAGGAAGATGTTGTGGGTGACGGTGAGAGCTCCCTTGCTGTCGTGGAGATGAAGGAGAAGAGCATGGCCTAGTAGGCAGTACCAGTGAAGGCCCAAGTTGGGCTAGGGAGTAAGGAGGGACAACAGAAGGTAAGAGGAGAAGGAGAAGGGAGCCAAGAGGAGGTTTTGCTTCGGCTATGGTGGAGATTCAGAATTGAGGGTTATAGTGCAGACGGAAATCGGAGCAGAATAGAGGATAGTGCTGAGAAGACTGGAGGCAGATGCGGATGACTCAAAAGCAAGTTCTCCTGAGAAATAATTTCAAAACATTTGGCTCTTTGAACTGGTAGGAAGTAAATATAGCAGAATAAAAGGAAACACACTTCCTTTCGCCAATTGGAGTCGGGAGACTCCTGGAAATTCTTTAGAAGCCTAGAAGGGCTCTAGGAAGAGATAACTGGATGGGGATATTATTATCATATTAGTTTATAGTTTTTTGTATGAAGATGATTATCAGATGCTGAAGATGAAACAAATTATTCATGAGCCGAGCTTCTTAACCAAGGGCTTCAGTTCCTTTCAGGCAGTACACACAGACTTGGGTGGAAACACGGTGTGAGGCCAGGTTGTCTTGGTGTCCCTTGACTGTAACGAAGAGAAGCGTATTCTATGCAAGGGATGCTGGGCCTGGTTTCCTGCTTTGTAATGAAATTATTTTTGTAAAAAAAAAAAAAAAAAAAGATCGGTCCTGGACAACCCAGCCGCTATCCAATGACTAACTGGAAAGATTGGTAACGTTATCGTTAAGTTCAAACTGGAAAGTGTCTATGCAATTCAAAGAGTTCATCAGAGTAATAAACTTCAACATTCAAACAAATTTAAGGAAGGGTCTATGCAATTCAAAGAGTTCACCAGGGTAATAAACTTCAAGATTGAAAACAAAAAAAGGAGTGCTGCTCACCTTTTCATTTGGAAGTGGGGAGACTTCATCAAGAATTGCATTTCCCCATTCTCCGTGTATAAGAACCCGCCCTAGTTTGCCCTGCACACAAAGAAAGGTCAAGAATGAACACTGTGAGAGAGTGAAACCAGAAGAGGAGCACCTGCCAGGTGGCTAAATTGTGACTACCCGGCTAGAATTATTAAAATCAGATCACGGCCTGTTGGCCACCTCATCCGCTCGTTGCAAGGGACGCCAGGCCTGTTTCCCGACCTTTTGTAAAAAAAAAAAAAAAAAGAGAAAAGGGGTGCATTAAACTGCATTTTGAAGTATTTTAATTAATTTATTTATGAGTCTTTATGACTCCCCCAAAAAAATAAAAAAATTAGATCACAATTTGAATCCTGCCGGAAAAAACAACAATAAGGGATATCTCCTTGAGAACAAAAAGAAGGGACAACAAACACGTGAGAAAGCACAAGGAACAAGCTGGAGAAAGAAGCTTCTCTCAGTAATTTAGCTTGAAAAGAACAGTCACATATATCCCCTTTTACCCCGGACCGCACCACAATTTGCAGGCTGGTTGTTGCTGTGGCATGAGGGCCCTATGTCCTTTGTCTTGGGAATGAGGTGCTTTTTGTCCCATCGGGTTAGCTCAAGTGGAGTTGCATGCCTGAGTCTCGCTGGATAGGTGCCTGGTTGAAGGCTCATTCAGGTGCTTTTCCCTAAGGAATATCTGAGGGCCTGTCCTGTTAAAAAAAAAAAGAAGCTACCAGAGCCTATCTCAAGGCAAAGCTCCAGATTCCTCTCCACGGGAAGAGCTTTGACTTCCTTCCACCTGGGGGATTCACAAAGATCCACACCCGGTATGTGCAAGGAACCATGCAATGAGAACATCAATAATCCAGATTAGCAAAATCTCACAGAAGACCGAACATGACTGAGCCAAGTTGAAAGCAGAAAACCAAAGTGGAATGCACACCAATTAGGAGCAAACAGAACACTGAAGTCTCTTATAAAGAAAGTCGATCATCTGCCTCCAATCATCAATGGAGCAACAATGTAGTAGCCCTACTTGTGATGTGACTGCCCTATCTACTTCACACTACTGCTACTCATGCCAGCCTCTACCTCCGAACTATCTGTCCGCGTGTCACTAACCCAATGCTGCTTAAAGACTCTGCTCATGCAGGCTTCCTTCGCCACGACCAGATAAGAACCATGGGTCCCCACTTCATTCCTTCTTTCCCGACTTCCACTTTCCGCCACTCAGCTTCTCTGCACCCGGCTATGACTGGTGCTCATCATAGCCACGACAGTTGCTCTTCCTCCTTCAGGTGCTGCTCGGGCAACAGCATTCATGCCTTGCAGCATCTGTCCAAACATGTCTCTGGCTAGCGGCCTCCTCTCTTTCGTCTTCAACTGGAGGCTGCGTGCAGACCCAGTAGGCAGTGCCTGCGGTCTACTGGGGCTGCATTCAGGTCCCAGCCTCTATAACTAACTCCGAGGCTAGGCCTACTGGTTAGTGACAAGGGCTGACACCTGTGGCTGGACCCAAGGGCCCGTACTCTGGACCTCACTTAGGGTCGGCGTGTCTATTCCAGGATCACCTTCGCTAAGGACGGCCCATAACTGTTGAAATACAGACCTGAGTTCAAATCCGTATGGACCTTGATGAATCGAGTTACATCATTCTGAATTACCTAAGGCAGGTCATATCGATGAAGATATCCCAAGGCCGTCGCCCTTCACAGATTCGGATGAAAGACACACCTGATCACCAATCCGGTAGCCTTGTGGAAGCTTCCTCCTCGTCAGCTTTGCAAGCGGGCAGTCCCGCAGGTCTGGCATGTGCGACTCCATTGTGTGCACAACCAAGATCTGATGCTTCCTGCAAAGTTTCTGGACCACCACAAGAACAAATCCAACCACCCTTGGGATAAACTTATGGATATTTCAAACCAAGAACAAAAGAAGAATACAACTCAGCCTCAAGCTAAACAAAGAAATGAAAAGATGGTCAGGATAAGATTGCCTGGATCATCAGAAAGGGCGAGCTCAGACACACAAAGGAGGTTTGAGACACAAAATGAAAGGATATAGGATTATGTCTCTATTTGTGTCTATAGTGCTCATTTTCTTTTTCTTTCTTTTTTTTTCTTTTCTTTTTTTTATTCTTTTTTTTAAATTTATTAACAGGACCTTATGGCCCCGGCTCCTTTTCCATTCTGGGGAGCATCAGTCCGGTTCCTATTCCACCGGCAAGTCAAAAGAATAATACATCATAATTACAAACACACGCTTCCTTCCGTACAGCCGAAGGACCCCTGATCAGCATTGATTACTCCATTCGCATGGAGGATTGACTGTCAGCTTGCCTTGCTATACCTTTCCCTCTCAGGTCTGCTGTGCAGATCTGCCAAATAGGGTCCGTAAACCAAGAAAAGGTCTAGCCCTTTCCCTGCTCCCTACCCCTCACTATGTTCCGCTACATGTATTCCCTTTTACCCTAGAGTTCCTCAGCATATATTTAACGCCCTCCCCCTTGTTACGTCTGGTCCAGTACGACCCTTACCCCGTCCGCCTTGGGCGGTTATGCTCCACCTGAGACAGCTATCTTAATCTGATTCAGTCTGTCAACTCCTTAGAACCTACAGTCCCTGACCTGAAACCCGATGCTTAAGACCCTAAAACCCTTGCCTTAAACCCTCCCTTATTCCACCTCGTAAAACCTTTCCTTCTGGAGATGGCCTAATGATTACGAGCCCAATGCAGTCCTCACTTTTTCTCTTCCTGTTGTACTGTATGTATTCTGTCCAGCATTGATGTAGGGGATTATCCGCTCCGTCTTAAGTCCGCACTTGCGTCCCCTCTTGCTGCCCTCTCTCTTTCCTGTTCTGTGCCCATTTTGCAGCGTGTGTAGCCGGCCTGGGATATTTTCTCCCGCCCCCGTCTTAATCCTTCTTGTCTCGCCTCTTGGCCTTTGTTCTTGAACCTGGTGGCCCTTACTCCCTTCAGCTCATATAGTGCCCATTTTCTAATCAAGCAGGATAATGCCTTTCATAAGTCTCAGCAGGTGCAAGGAATGATCTCTAGAATCCAATGACAACACTTCACAAAAGAAGAGATAGGGGAGGACGGACGAAACCTACGCAGACTGGGATATAATGGATATGCAAGTGGAGATTCACTGGAGAGCCAAATAGAGGATCCGTGAAATGCTGGAAAAGTGCTGGGGGCTTGGCTGATTTTCCTATGGAAAAGAGGGGCAATGCAAAAGGTTCAGCAACTCCAGAAGCAGATCCACACTGGTGACCCATTTATCCTGTCCGTTTTTGGATTATTATCCTGTCATTTCTATTTCAAAATGCCAGAGGACTGGCAAAGGCCCCACTTGACAGAGCAGACAAGGTCACTAGTGCCTTGCAAGCACAGCTACAATCTGTACCTCGGCACACATCTGGACATACCGGAGTCCGGTGTCCGGAGCTGAGGTCGAGATCCCAGTCTGGATGGCTGGGCCCTGGGGTGATGAGCAAAAAAATTATGGCCGTGGAGGGCGATTTTTCAAGTCCTGGGCTGCCGCTAAAAAATAGGTCCCAACTTTTTAACGGCCTTGTCTGGGGAGCGAAAACGGAAGAGGGGAGGGAGAGGGACAGCAAAGCACACAGGGTAGACAATGCCTAACCTCTAGACCCTGCGGAGCTAGCCACCATATGAGTGTAGGCTGCATGAGTATGCTGTTGTGAACTTCCACACCACACAGTCACACACACTGACTCACCCACCCCCACCACACTCTGCCACCGCACACCCCGTCCAACCCGGGCCCCATCCCAGCCCACACACTCCACCCCACCGTGCCACACTCCAACCCACCATGCCACACCCCAAGCCACAAAAAACCCGCACCACCGCACCCCACTCTACCCGACCGTGACCCAAATTTTTAAGGACCCTATCTGGCATCCAGAGGGTTTTTGTGGGCTGTTGTGAACTTACACATCACACAGTCACACCCACACACACACACACACACACACACGAGGTTCAACCTCCTGATGAACAGTTGGGCACAGCCATGCTTTTTTTTGGTTGGAGTTGTGTATAGCCAACATGACAACATACAAACACACGCACACGCATAAACATGTTATAAACAGGAGCTCTTGAGCAAGCAAAATGGGATTCTAACACCCCACCTACTCAGAAGAGAAACTATCTGAAGGGATAACAGGCAGGAATGAGTCGCGCGATCAAACACGCCACTTAACGGGTCAGATAACAAACTGATACAAACATCAAAGCATTTTTTCTGACTTGCCCGCAAGCCCACCCGTTGAGTGTCCCCACTTGGGCTACGGAATAGCTTACTCAGGGGACTGAACAGGGAAATAAAATGGCCTGACAAATTCCCCATCTTGCTTCTCCCACAAACCCACCCGTGATGCCTTGGGAAAAAGGAGCCGGTAGCATGAGATCATCATAACTACGAATAGTCGGGAAAATAGCGAAACAAGAGGGTCATGAACTCAGGAACTGAATAACCCTTGAAAACACACCACGGCAAAACGGGATTTCAAAGGGAATAACAAATACTACCGGCCCAGGAAAAACATCTGGACAGTCACATTTTGAACCCTGAAACTGAGCTATTGTGTTTTTTCCTTTGCATGGTTGTCTGTATTCTCTTTTTTTTTCTTCTGAGTTTGTGTGTCAGTACCATCCGGTCGGTATAGTGCAGTGCGGCTGGGTCATGAGTCAGTCCACACACACACACACACACACACACACACACACACACAGAGAGAGAGAGAGAGAGAGAGAGAGAGAGAGAGAGAGAGAGAGAGAGAGAGAGA